CATCAGGGAAGATGTAAACTCTCATAATGGAGTTTTATCTGATTCAAAGCAACACAATCTTTGAAAGATTGAAGGCTGGAGAAACTAAATCGTCAGTGCTGCCTAAAGTGGCATCATGGTTCAGGCTTGGGGGCTGACCTGTTGCAGCTGCCTACTACATACAAATGTGTCTTTCGGAACTGAACCTACTGTGGTTTCTCTCACATTAGCTCCTCATTTTTTCTTGACACCAACACATGGTTTACTATGTCTGGATGCTTACTTACTTTCTGGGCAGGTGGTGTCTATGAGACAACTGGAACTTCAGGGTGGATGCAGTTTTGCATCACCTTTTTCCTCTCTGGGGGATTCTCTTGCCTTGTGTCCCTGGGCTAGTTCCTTATGTCAGCTCATGTGCTCCTTGAGAACAACAATTCTCCCAGGGGCTGGGAACAGCTGAGAGCAGTATGTTCAGCAGCTGCTGGCTTACTTCATCTCACTTCTATTCACAGAGAAATGTGGGTGCAGAGTGGACATAAAGCAAGACTATCAGTATAGCACATTGGTTTGCTTTCTTCTCTATCCAAAACTTCAGTGAGGCCCTGCGTGCTGTACTAAGCAATCCTGGATCATAGAAATGGCGTTTTGAAGAGATCTCTGGATGTACTATGTTACTTCTCTGGTATTTGTGATATTTCTCCAAATGATGCAGTATCTGACAGCGATTGTAGATCAGTTAGCTTTTTTGCTATGGTCTTTGGTTTTTCAATAGTTTGAGGTAGTGAGGGTCAGATGTTATTTGCTTAAGGATTCTAAAAGAGCTCAGGTATGAAATTACTGAGCTACTAACTGTTGTGTTGTGCACTTCAAAACTGACTTTATAACTTGACTAATATATGGCAGTTGGGAACCTCTTATCTTTTAAAAGAAGAAGAGTCTGAGAAAAGGAAAACTACTTAATCCAGATAGGTGGAAGAGCAGAATGGATAGACAGGTGGCAAGTATGACAGAAAGAAGAAGATCCGACCCAGCATTTCAGAAGTCATTGAAGGAGCCGAATGAGCAGGTGGGAGAAAGTGATCCAGCCATGTTACAGTGTGCATTTGTTCTGAAAAATTTTTTGGGTGCTACACTTTACAAAAATCTTTTAAATAAATCAGTGTATGATGATACAAAGGAAAAAAAAATCTTTAATGAATTAAGAACTGAATGAAAGGAAAAAACCAAAGAGTAGGAATAAATAGTAAGTGGAAGGGAGGTTTCCAGTGATGTTCTAGAAAGTTCCTGCCCCATTTTGTCATCCTTTTCATGTAAGAGGGGCGTGCAGTGAAGTAACAATATTTATAAAAACACAGTTACTTAAAATTGTCAAAGCTAGGCCAGACGCAAAAAAGAGCTCATGGTATTGAGTGACTGGGAAGCCAAATGATGGATGGCATGCAAAGTTTATATATGCAAAATAATCTTTGCATGTGTAGAAAAAAAATCCCAACTGCATATGTACCACAGTGGGCAGTAAATTAGTTGTTACTGATCACACAAAAGGTCTTAAGAGTTGTTGTGGGTAATCTGAAAACATCCATGCAGTGCTCAAGAGTGTTCAAAATGGCAATGAGCACGCTAGGGAAGAAACAACTGAAGAATTACAAAATAAAATATGTAAAATCATGACTGGCATGAAGAAGAGAATAAAAATAGTCATGATTATTCCTCACTGAATAGGGATATTTGTCTTGCCTTGCTCAAATGTCATACTGAATGGCCATTATTCACTTTCCCCCCCATATATAAGATGATGACTATTCATGTACAAATAAAATGTCTTGCAGAACAAGAATGTTTCAGCACAACTCAACCATGGGCCTCCTTGCTAGAGGAAGAAGAGGTCTCTGCCCAGAGAGGTTGCGGAGTCTTCTTCTCTGGAGACTTTCAAAACCTGCCTGGACACATTCCTGTGTGGCTGCCTTAGGGGATCCTGCTCTGGCAGGGGTGTTGGATTAGATGATCTCTAGAGGTCCCTTCCAACCCTGAACATTCTGATTCTATGTTTTAGGTAACAACCTTTGCCAGTTTATAGACTGAGGTATTTGCCCAGTCACTCCATACAGAAAAAAATTACCAAAGTCTTTTAAAAATTCTGAATATGTTTACAACTACAGAGAAAATGTTCCCAGTAACATTGTCAGAACATTGAAACCCACAGGGACAAAACAGCTTGTGTTTAAGCTAGAAAATTCTTGTAGCCTCCAAAAATGGTATAAGAGCATCCAGGTCAGCAGGCAACCATGCAGAAGTGCCAGACTCTACCCTGTCTCCGGGCAAGCTTGTTCCAGTGCCTAGGCGTGTGCCCAGGCTGTTTAATTTAATAGGAAAGCACCCGGGAAGCCTCCGTCTGCCAGAAACTGGAAGAGGTTTGCTCACTCCATCTTTCTTATTGCAGGAGGCAGGCTCCCATGTGGCTCCTGCGGCTGAGCCCCTACAGCGAGTTTGCAGCACAGGAGGGATGTGTGCAGTTTGGATCAAAATCAAACTCTGCCCATATGGTTTTCAAATTATTACTTTTTTAAAATAATGAACTGTTGAGATTTCCCCTTTTTAAAGTGAAAAAACCCTGATGTTTCTTCAAAGCAGTCAGGTACTTAATCTGAGAAGGCAGTTGTGTTGGTATCAGTTGATTGCATGGCACTTTTTAAAGCTAAGCTATTACCATAAGGCATAATATGGTAATCAAATTGTATTTGAATACAATATGTTGCAAATATACAAGAAACACAAACATTTTTATTAAAGGTTTACAATGCAGATACAGAAGTTGTGTAATAATAAGCTACTTACTGCAAAGCACCACCAATGAACATTCAAGCCTTCTGGAAAAAAACCAAGACATTTTACTTAGTTTAGCTAATGCTCTGCTAATAAAATTTGCTTCCTCATATCCTTAGGCCATCAAGGCTACAACATTACTACTGCTAAAAATATTTACAGTCAGGTTGCTCAATTAATTATTGTACGGTAGAACTGAAAATACATTTAAAAATATTGGGTTATTTGTTGGCAAGTTATAGTATTTTGCCTATGAGCTTCATTCCATTCCAAGTACAGAATAAATGATGGTTTTAATTCATAATGCAAATTCTGTGAAAACTGATGAACTTTTGGCTCGTCATGAAACTATGATTCTAAGTTTAATTAAACATATTTCTAACCAATCAGTGAAGACTTTTCAAATAGTCATTCTCTGTATTTCAATTTTGTGAGGTACTTGCATGTAAGGAAGACATGGCAGATTATTCAGAACCTATCGGATAGTAATGACATTGTATGATGCTAATCCATTTGCATTTCTGTGTTCTTCTATGTTCTTCTTGTTAACTAAATAATACTGCTGTGAAGTGCAAAATAATATGTCAAACCCCTCTGAGTGCCTATCATATGCTGTTTCAAAATTAGATGCAAAACCTCTTAGAATGGTGATGACTCTGGTTTAATGTTAGTAATGACTATGAGAAGATCCTGCTAAACTAGTTAAAAATTAAACATTAAATCCCTGGGACAGTACAGTGGAATTTTCAACTGAAAAGGGAAAAAAACAATTAAGGCACTTCTGCTATATCTAGTGTCATATTCTGCTGATATATAGGGCTACATATTTAGCTGCAACACAACAATGAAACTCAAATATTACTTTAATTTACAACTTGCAAGCATTTGGCCTTCAATCTTTATTACACGATCTAAGGCAGAAACAAACAATTTCACATTAAAAGCATATTGTTACATGGATTTTAACAATGAAAATAAATAAATTTTGGCTGCAGAAATAAAAAGACAAGAAAACCCTGTTCCACAGAGTTGTATTTTAGAATACACTTAAATTCATCAAAGTATATTTTCCCCTGGTTAACTACTGATGATTTATTTACAAAGCAAGTAACAAACAATGGCTAGAAAATACCATTGCACCACAAATTACCTATGTTGATACTTGTATTTTTCATACTAGAAAACAGCCAAGGTGACATTTACTTCGGTACGTTTCTTTCATAAATCTTAAATCTGTTTTAGCAGCTAATACAAAATGGAGATGCAAACTGTATTATGCTAGTTAGAAAACCAAATATATTATGTGTTTGTTTAAGAAAAAACATATGTCTAGTAAAATGTAACTAGTTTGTTTGTTTTTTGTTTGTTTGTTTGTTTTAATGCATTAACTGCTCCAAGCATTCCACTTAGGGACTGTCACTCACAAACGCAAAATGTTGCTGACAGGGCAGCTGAAATTTGAGGAACTACTTGAAAGAGAAGTAATCATCCGCCTGTGCTAGCTCTGACAGGCTTATAGCTGGATTTCTATTCACATAGGGATTTAATAGAGTCTGTGCTGGTTTGGAGATCATTTGATAATCAGTAACAACATGGAATACTTTCATCTATTCATTTCTTCTAGAAGACGTGATTTCTATATGAGAAACAGAAGGTAAAGCTTGGAGTTTTGTTTTTTGTTAAGTGTGCACTGAAAGAAATATTTTCCTTGGAAATTGTGGAACATGCAGTCCTTGTAAGAGAAGAACCCTTGAACTGCAAATGTGTTGTTCTAGATGATCTTGTGAGACTACAGCACGCTAATGACCTGCACAGAAAACACCTCTACAAATAAACTTTAAGAGTAAATCAAGTACCCAATAGCATTACAACTTCATTTCCCATTATTTCCCATCATTAAAATCTGACTTTTTTTTCAAGCTATAGTTGTCTGGCCTTTGAATTTTTCTTTCCAACCTGCTTTAAACCATCAAGAGTATGTCAGATTGCTACAGGTACGGTAGCTTTGTTTTAGACTGATGTATTTAGACTAATTCCTGGTGAACATGACTGTTTTGAACACTGGAGACTGGCAAGCCCCCATATCTCTTGTCTCTGCTTGCTGTTAAGGTTCTTGCTTCTGTTGCGTGCAATGTAGAAGTGCCGCAGAAGCAATTTTTGACAGACTGGAAAAGCAGGCACTTTCCTCTGTGGTATTTTTTTGAGGGAAAGCGTATCCTACACATTCCCATAGCATACTGCCCAGACACACCGTGGCACTGGTGCGTAATTGCTTTGAGAGCTATGCGGCAGGAGACCCTGTCACGGCAGTGGAGCAGTTTCAGCTTCTTGAAGTTCCAGCTGAAAGGAAAGAAATTGCAAATACAATGAACAATTACTTGATTTCTTCCCACCCACAAGTTTGTCTGTGTGTTTGCATGTGTGGTTCTTTTGAAAGAGGAGTCCACCTCTTATTCACAGCTACTGTCCTGCCATATAAAGCTGAACAGCTAGCTCAGAGAGTAAGGCAAGACTACACCTTTGCCATCAATCAACAAAGGCAGAGGAAATGATCATAGAGAAGTTTCATGTCTGACCTTCAAAGATGAAGAAAAATCAGTAGAGCTGAAATTTAAATTAAAATATATATTTCATATTAAGCCAAACATTCTCTTTCAGGAGGGGAAGTCTCTATGAGTATGGAAGGACTTTGATCCCTCCCTGTATTCTTTTTGTAGCAACTGCAGGGGAGTTAGTATTTTAAATGATACATTCTATGCTCACATCAGTACACTGGATAACCTTCAGATTTAAATTCTCTGAGACTTACATCAGCAAAACCAACAAGCCCTGTGTGCCCACGGGATCCATGTGAAGTCCTATTTGCATATGGGCACAACAGCACTACAGCTGTCTCCATCAAGAAAATCTGTTTACTGCACAGCATGTCCTGAAAGTGTGCAACCCTTTCCACAGCCCAGCAAATACTGTCCTGCAGCATTAAAATCTGTTGAAAGCAGGGTGATAAGCATTGCAAATAAAGGGTTTGTGGTAGGGGAAGTAGAGTCACAGATGAAGCCTGACTGAGACAAGAGAGGAAACATACACCTGTAAAAACAATGGGACACGAGTAAGGATTTCGGGACAGGGAGAAGGAAAGTACAGTTCTGAGCTGGATTGTTTTGCAAGCACATTTCAGCAGAGTGGAAGCTGTAAGGACTTCTGATTTATAGATAAATTTCTCCAAGGCCACAACATAACTCAAAAGCTTCTTCAATATAACATATAGGGATTTTCTTTATTCTGTATTAAGAATATTTTTCCTCAGCTCCTTTTTGGCCAGAAACTGACCTGATCCTAAATCTAAATGTCCCTCTCTTTTGTAGAAGTCTAGATCCTAAAATTAATTTTGAAGCCCATATTCACTTATCTTTATTAGATAAAATAGAAGCACCTCCTTTGTATTTTTTACCAACAAACTTTTTCTAATTTTTCAACAAAAAAGTGAAATGTTTCCTTCCCTGTATATTCTAATTCACAGTTTAAGGAATGCCACAATCAATGGAAACCTTAGAAGCCATCTAGTCAGTTCTGGTCCTCATACCATAGTTTTTTCTTGTTTCCTCTCATGTAATAGTCTGACAAACACATTCCATATTCTCTGGTACCTAGAAGAATCACAAAGGGCCCATGGCAGTAGAAATCAGCTACAAAAGAAAGCCCAGTTTTAAGGAATTTAGACAGACTTTTTATAGATATCACTATCTTGCCAGAAATAGGCTTTTTAAGAAACCAATACCTTATTATTATTGAACTACAATATTATTTACAAAGGAAATATGTCCATATTCTAAAAATACATAGAAAGGCCATTCTCTTTTAATATAGGCCGACGTGAATCTGCCATGGTTTGGAGTTACAGAATCTGCCCAGTTTTTGTCATGCTTCTGCACAGTAGTTACCAGCATTCCACATATTTGTTTGCAATCTGTCATATAGTACTGGGAAAAAAAATCATTTACTTTATCAAAGTGAACTAGCTTTCAATTTTTCCTTGTTTCAATTTAAAAGTATTTTTTCTTTAATCTAATATCCTTTTTATTTCTATGTGTGGCTGCCAGTCTAAGGAATAAGGGCAAAGCTTTCAGGACTGAGCACAAATACCAGAGGTTCTGGTTACTGAACACATCTGAGGCCTCATTTTCAGTATATGACGAGGATCTGCAGCTTCCATTATGGCATTCAAGACACTTTGGTGGTTAAGGAGAAAGCATCAGAAGCTGAAAATACAAAAAGTAGTTACACAGGATGACTAAATAGTTCTGAAAATGTGCCTATACATAATTTGCCTAGTTGCTTGGATACATTCAGGTGAGGCTGCTAAAAAGCTTAAACGGGTCAGAAAGAAACTAACTCACTGAAACAAATTAAATTTCTAAGATTTCTATAATTATTACTAGTCCATTTTCTTATTCTACCTGTTATTAACAGGTAGATACTAATAAAAATAAAGGGTATTTGGAAAACATAATTTTCAGGAAAAAAAAAGAATTACTAATTAATTTTAAGTTTAAAAAATATTCAAACTTTTTTTTTTTTAAATCTCAGAGATAAATTAATGCAGAGTCTCTATCCCTCTGAGGTAAAAGCTGTTTCAAAATACTTGTCAAGGCCTCTGTTATGAATCAGGCTAACGTCAGACTACATAAGCTTCCCGGAAAATTGAAGTCAGTCAAGACTTTAAGCTCACTTTGGACGAAATATAACCTACGCATTTTACAACAAGAATTAGTTGAGTGTAACACAGAAATGAAACGTCTCAGTCTTACAACTCCTTCAATTTTTGCATGCCTGATTAGCTGCTGTCTTTTCTGCCTTAGAACTATGTTGCTCCACTGAGCATCTTCAATTTCCATAAAAGCTCACACCACCAGTGTTACGGATCAGATGCTATTTGGTGGATTTGAAAGAAGCTGCACTTTGGAGGAGTTCTGAACTTCCACTTTTTGTAAAAGCTGATAAAACGATAATCAATCTCTTAATTTAGGTCTTTTTGGTAAAGCCAAAGAGCCTTAGACTAGGCCAAATATCAACATCTTAACTCAGAACAATATCAATATTTATGACGTTTCCTGTTACTGCTTTTGCACTGACAGAAAACACAGTTGTGTCTTCTACCAGTGAATGCCTGTTTTTAAGTGTTTTAAGAGTATGAAGCACTAAGCTGTTGAGCGACTGTGAGCTTGCAATTCTCATTAACTTCAGTGGGAGTAAAGAATTCTCACTTGGCAAAAAAGCAACTTGTAGAACATCTGCTTCTTTGAAAATGATGTGCAGTGTGTCGAGTACTATACAGCATGCAATTAGGATTCATACCAAATGCTCTCCAAGGCCTTGTCTGTACAAGAAAGAACTTGTCAGTTTACTTAGATCAATACAGATATACTAACCAGACCTTCTTGTACAGAAAGCACTTACCTGTAAAGAGAATGCCCTGCAAAAAGAATTTACAAAAGCTTACTGAGAGCAAAAGCTGCATTTGCCCTAGGGCCTTCTCTGTTTAGAAAATAACAATAACAAAAAAATATCAGATGTTACACTTGTAAGTACTATCCCAGAGAACTTTTTCGGTGTAAATTAGTCCTACAACCTTGTCTGTCATTCTGATAGTAGCAGACAAAAGAAATGTTGTCTCTTACAGAGAAGTTTGCCAGAGGAAAAAAAAACAAATGACATTTAATATTCAGGTTTGAACATGGCTTCTCTTTCTCCGGAGACTTTCAAAACTCGCCTGGATGTGTTCCTGTGTGACCTGCCCTGGCTTGGTGTGAATGTATCCCACAGACATTACGGAAAGTGTGACGGAATGCACCCAATAGTTGGTGTGCACAGCAGCAAGAAGGATCAGGTCATCATCCAGCAAGCACATCTGTCAGACTGCAGGGATGGTGGTGAGGGAAGCGAAATTGGGCCCATTTATGGCCACTTCAAATTCTTTCAAATACCAGACTATGCAAAGAGGCCTATCCATCCATCTATAAGGACAACAGAGAATAGAATCATAGGATCATAGAATCATATAGAATCATAGAATGGCTTGAGTTGGAAGTGACCTTAAAGATTATCTAGTTCCAACTCACCCACCACAAGCAGGGACACCTCTCACTAGACCAGGTTGCTCAAAATGACATCCAGCCTGGTCTTGAACACTTTCAGGGATAAAGTGTTCAAGATCAGGATGGATCTATCACATACATGGAGACATTCAAGGTCAGGCCTGATGGGGCTCTGTGCAACCTGATCTAGTTAAAGATGTCCCTGCTCACTGCAGGGGGTTTGGACTAAATGACCGCTAAAGGTCCTTTTGAACCCAATGCATTCTATGATTCTGATTCTATGATTCCACACAAGCTTCCAAGTGCTGTCTTCTCACTGGCCCTGGGTAAAACTGATGGCTAGTTGCTAGGATGAGCTACCAAAGTAGTCAACAATGGGTAGTCAAACAATTTCTCATAGCTCTGCATACACCTTTTTTACTCCATGCATATTTGCTCTTTGATTCAGTTTCTCCTTTCTCTTTTACACTCTTCCTCTCCTCCCCTCTCCCTTTAGCATCTTCCCCCTCACTTCTCTTTACATGTCCTTTATCTCTTCTTAACTAATTTCATCGCTGTTCCCTGAATGGGAAGAAAAACCCAGCCAGCAAGGAACCCAACTATGAGACTAGCTTTCTGCTTACTACCATGATGCATCTCACTTCACTTGTTTGGTCCATCCCTGCCTCAGCTGGTTCTCTCCCTTGTTAGTGCAGGTTGCAAGATCTTTGTCTGAAAGACCATCTATCCTGTGTTTACTTAGTGCCCAGGGCAATAGATTTTTATCTCACTCAGCCTCTAGTCAGTATCATATTTATCTTTGCTAAGTGTAGGCATTTAGAAGGCTACTGGTCTCCTAAAAATAATATAGAAGATGTGTGCATATACACTTCACTGTAAAAAGCTGGAACTGTACTATAGATACAATCCTGTTGTCAGACATGTGCACAAAATTTACTCCACTGAGGGTTACATATGCATTATTAACAGCTGAATCCATTTAATAAATTTACTACACCTAGTAAATTTTACACATATACACATAAAAACATATATGTATGTGTCTAGCCAAGCCTGGCAGTTCTACTCCACTACCAAAATGTGCGCAAGACTGAGCAGGTGCTGACTCATTTCACAGGCATGGATGAATCAGATGGTGGTGAACAACAATACCAACTGCAGATGCTTAGTAAAGGTTCTCCCTATAGCCTGTTCCCTCCTCTTTTCTGGTGCAATTACTATTTTCTTCTGTCTGGAGATGGCAATGTTCTGATTTGAGCTTTCCCGCCTGCAGCAGCTGAGTGGCAGGTATGCAACTGCTTTCACGAGAAGTCATCGACTTCTGCACCTTGAGGAGGCAGCCAGCTTGTGGCTGAAGTGAGAAACGAGTGCAGGCTCAACCTCAGTATATTGCTGAAAGGTGATGCGGCAAGGAATGAACTAGGCTTGTGCCTTTTGTTCTTCTCTTTAATAAACTCCAGAGATGATGATAAACTTTTTCTAGTACTTACGATGTACTTGAGTTACTTCTGTGAATGTCTGAATGATTTGCTGTCAAGTTTTGCTTGACATTCACTGAGAGATATGGATTGGAAATTCTCAGGACTAATCACAGGAACATGGATGTTGAACATCTAACAGAAGAGCTTCTTTGCAAAAGCTAATCAACAATAGCCTGGATAAAAAACTACAACAGTAAATCTATTTCTCTTGGTATCTGCTGTGGGATAAAATCCCTATTTTTCAAAGGCTTTTTCTACATGGAAAAGGTATATTCTCAGTATACCTTTAAATGGCAAAATGGCACAATACTCTTCAACATGGATGTATATATATTTATACATATATATCTATATCTCAAACTCCACCTTAGCCAACATAGATAATTATTCAAGAACGGCATGTAGACAAGCTTTTGTCTAGTTCTTGCATGTCTTCCAGGACAAACAAGGCTGAGTAAGCCCTCTTTGTACATCCATCCAAAGTGTACAAGCACAGTTTCTTCTCTTTTTTTATTCACTGTTGCAATGAGAGAAAAAGAGATACCTATTTTCTGACCCACTCCTGTCTCCATCAGCAGACAAGTAATATGAATAGAAAAATCTGTGAATAATCTCCAACCAGTTCTAAAGAAGTCACCTGTTGCAAACATCCTTGAAATGAAACATTGTTTTCTGCACTTTGTATATGCATGCATGATGGGCCTTGTCTTGCAAGGTACCTTTGAAAGCCCTCAGCTTCTGAGCATCAAGGAGAGAACAACTAGCACCATGCAGGACTGGGGTCTCTGTGTATGCATACACCAGTTTCAAATATAACCCTGAAGGTCTTTAGACCTTCAAGTAACTACAAATCAGTATAAACTGTAACTTCAGAATACATGTCATCTCCAAGCGGGAGGCCCGGTTCCAGAGATGACATCTCCACTGCTAGTCATACCTGATGGTTAGTCCTGTCCACAGTGTTGGCAGTGGAAGCATGGTCACGAGTGTTTTGTCGTACTCGGGTGGAGTTTTGCTGCTCAATAGTTGAGGAGGTTGGGATGCAGAACTCTCTGAAACACCTTTTGAAATTCTCATCTAGAAATGCATAAAGGACTGGATTAAGGCAACTATTTGTATACCCTAAAGCAATACAGAAGTGCCACGAGACAGCCTGGAAAGGAGTTTCTGGGATGTTGACCAGGGCTTTAACGATGACATAAATGTGGATGGGAGTCCAGCAGACAATAAACACTGCCACCACTACAAGAACCATCCTTGTGATCCTTCGGAGGTTCCTGTCCTTCTCTTTGGAGCCAGATAACATGCGAACACTCTTCAGGCGTAAAATCATCAGCCCGTAGCACACAGTAATGATGAGGACTGGCATGATGAAGGCAAAGATGAACACACAGATTTTCAGGAGGTTCTCCCAGTACCATGCAGGGTGGGAGAATGTAAGTGTGCAGTCAATAGAGCCTGGAGAAAAAACAAAGAGCAGCAGAGAAGAACAAGCGGATCAGTTTTTCATTTGCTTTTCTTTAAACACTTTTTTGTTAAATATCATCAGCAAATATATGAATATTTACTAAGTAAACAAATATTTACTGAGTTAAAAAAATTAAGCAATCTGTGACTTGTCCTCGACACAAACATTGATAGGACATAGTGATGAAAAACATATGGAGTTAGAAAAACAAAACTGAAGCAACATATTCTCTTTCGCATTTTATTGCTCAGAATTACATGTATATTGGATAAGAAAAAGAGCTGAATTGCCATAAATGCTTAAACTTTGATTCATTTTCACCTTTGGTATAAAACCTGGTGAAAAGAAAGATGGTTTAACTACAGTATCTGATGAGACGGGACATTTCAGGGCAATGGGGAAGAGAATGACATGGTAACTGTGACTTGGTAACTGTGCACAACAGAGGGTTTGGATTTATGTTGAGATGCTGTCACTTCATGGAAGGTCTTCAAGCACCAGTAATCCAGAACATGCTCTCCGCTCCGTATCACGTCCTGTCAGACTAGGTGCAACGTGACTATGACTGCCAAATTCAGTAGGAATATCTGGGGTAAAGCACAGGCTTCTGTGCTGTAGAACAGTCCATAACTGCCTTGCAGCAGAAGGCAGGAAGGCACAGACGCTTTCCCAAACGCTACAGAAACTGTGTAGGGCAGGGAGATGCACATGGACTCACAGGAGGAGCTGGACCTGTGTGTTGTAAAAGACAGGTCACGTGCAGAGCTGCATCCAGACAACAGCCAGATGCAAAATTACTGAAAAGGTCAATTTGCACTGACACCTGCTTTTATACAGGCTGTAGGTCAGACAATACAGCAAAGTGAAACAATGCAGAAAAGAGTTTAAACATTGAAACCCTCAATTTAGCATCAGAAGACAGACTTACCATGCCTGTATTTAGTAGTTGCCATGAACATAACTGGCAGGCCAATGGCAGAAGAAAGAATCCAGTTGCAGACATTGACAATTTTGGCATTTCTGGGGGTACGGAAATCAAGAGCCTTAACTGGGTGGCAAACAGCTACGTAGCGATCCACACTCATGGTGCAAAGTGTAAAGATACTGGTGAACATATTGTAGTAGTCTATGGATATAACAATCTTACAAAGGATGGTACCAAATGGCCACGTTCCCATCAAGTAATTCACACTCTGGAAAGGCAGAGTACTTGTTGCTAGGGCATCTGCCAATGCAAGATTGAAAATATAGATATTGGTGGCAGTCTTCATTTTCGTGTACCTAGAAAAAAAAATTAGCAAAGAGTGTGAATGACCATAACTGACAATATTAAACAAAAATGAGCCAGTACACCACCTATAAGAAACTTTTGTGAAAAGATGTGATAGATATTGTGAAAAAATTATCATTCCTGTTTTTAACCAAATGACCTTGCTATGGTTTATCAACAATAATGTCTGCAGTTCAGTGAGGCATTTGCTAAAAGATGTAAAAAAGAAAAGATTAATTTAACTTGTGCAGAGAGAAAGGATACATGTAGAAGAAAATATTACTGATGCTAAAGAATCAAGAAGCTGGAAAAAATGTATTTGTATATATCAGTCACTGCAATAAATGGATAGATTTTCTATATCTGCTAATGCCATGTGGAGTATCAGAACCATGGTGTGTAGAAAGCGAGAATTCATTTGTAGGCTTTGGAGTAGTAATGGTATAATTCCTTAGGAAATAAGCACCTAAAAGGTTAGGATAATTATCGAACCCACTGTGTCTAAAAATTCAGGCTTTTAGACTTTTTCATTTGTTTGTAATTACAAAACTCTAAAATAATTTGTAATTATGCCTACTTCATCGCTTTACTAATCTCCAGGTCCAATATAAATTGGACAGATGTTCTTTTAATCAAACGAGAAGACAAATACTATTAACCCCATGCATTGACTGTATCAATAGAACCACCACCCCAGGTGGACGCTGCAGCCCTGCTGCTTGAGGTAGGAACACTCACTCTGTTCTGCAGTGCCCATTTCGGCAGGCCAGTCTTCAACCCCCATTGCACCTCCTTCTTCTTAAGCCTGTGCTGCTAACAACCCAAAGCCCACTTCCTAAATTTTGTATGTCACAATTCAATCACAGAGCAGGGGGAGCTTTCTTCTTTTAATTTGTATTTGCACTGCTGAAGGTAGAGTCCAAATCCATCCCTAGTTTCAGCAAAGTTTTGAAGAGCCCTTCACTGTTTCAAGGCCATTGTTTCAGCTGAGCAGCACTTGAGAACCACTTTTTATGAGGATGCTCTACTTTTGCAGTGGTACAATGAACATTTTGCTCCAAGTAATGTTCCTGGCCATGCTGCTCCACTGTCCTCATTGCTGCTGAGGTTGCTGAGCACTGTAGCTTCCTGCATTTTGAGGGGGGGTCAGATAGCTTGCACTTTTGATAAAGCTTCCTTCTGTTTCTGCAAAGTAACAGTGTTTGATCAAATATTTTACAATTTACAGAGTGATTTCCAAAAGGAATAGCCCTTTTGAAGATATCTTTCACACAACCTGCCAGGGAAGACAAAGTGTAAAATACAGTATTTCTTGGGTTTTTTTTGTTTTTTTTTTTTTTTCTCCCTCTGACTTTGATCTCTTCAGAACATGAGTTCCATGCAAAAAAACCCCTCCAATAAGAAAATTTTTTTTTGTAGGGAAGAGACACGTGGAACTTTTTTGTTAGGGTCTGGAAAAATGCAGACTACTTGCTGAATGTATCTAGACAGCTTTTACAATGAACATCTGAAGAAGTTTGTACTGGCTTTGTTCTCACATTTTCTAGCACTGTGCATGAGAAGACACTAACAACCCTCATTTCAATTTAGAGTAGCTTTTAAAAAAAAAGATTTTCAAGTAGATTCAAGCTCTGTTATCTTAAGAAAGTATGATCTGAGTATGATACTTCCAAGTTTTAAATAAAACCTATATTCTGAAAGTACCCTAAAAACTTTTCTTACAGGAGCACTCCATTTATCCAACAAGACTGTAACACTAACTTAGGAAGACAGAGATGCTGCAGTGTGGGAGAAGTACATAATGAGCTGCAGATCTAAGAACAGTTTGGAGCGAGGAGAAAATATTTTCTGGGTATTTTCCTGGAGAATCTTGTAGAGGAGAATAAAAATAACAACAATTTCATATGGACTTTACGATTATCCAGAATGAAAATGTTTCACTAAGCTCTTTTTTTGCTATGTTCCCTGTTGTTTATCAAAAATGAATGTCTTCTTCACAGGTCTGACAAGAGGTCCAAGACTAGCTAAGGTTGTGTCCAGACAGCTAACCTGGAGGTTTGATTGTGTTGTGAGCAAACACATCCACCTTGCTCTGGTCTCACCCACTCTGGCAGCAACAACCAGTGGAGGGGCAGCAGCTCTCCCATTCTGCACAGACAAGTAGAAGTGATGAGGACCCCTCACCCTCATCCAGCATGCTGATCCCTGCTCAGCCCTGAGGTGACTGCACGCTTAGCTGTGCTGATGCCATCACACACAATTCTGTCACAGTTCTGTCTGGAGAGCTCATCAACAGATGACAATTTTTTTTTTTTTAAACAGTAACTAAAGCCATTCTTATGATTTACAAACAATGTTTGATACAGTAAAAAAATAAATACATCATCCAACTTGTAAATGACTCTCAGGTTGGCAAGGCAAAGTATGGGCAGGGAAAAGCTCTGAATAAATGGAATAAAGTTTCTTCACTGGGACTGGCACGGGCCTTATCCCACTAAATGCCACACATTTTGCAGTTTTGATATCTTGCTTTCAATGTCAGTTTGAGCTTAAAAGTTCTTAGACTTTGTTTAATAAGCTCTTAATGAAGGACTTTGCTTGATGCACTCTGTAATCCCTATATTGCTAATCACACTGTTCTTATAAAGAAAAGAAGCAGAACTTTTGCGGTGATACCTCCACAATTGCCTAATCAACAACAAAAGTCTATTGAAATACACAGTATTTTTTTCAGCGAACTCTATAGGATTTGAGTGCTTCTCTGTACTGAATATTTTAAGTTTCTATAAACGGCTTATTTCTGAAAGGTACATTTTGTTAAACATGCATTTTTCCAAATAAGTAGATTATCGGTGTCCCCAGGATTATGTTTTTTGTACAAACAATTAAATACTGAAGCATGTGATCAAAAGTAATTTTAACAGCATGAAAAATAACAGTCCCTCAAAATGGAGCTCTTCAAAGCCTTGGTCTTAACTGTTTCTGTATCTTTTGCTAAGGTATCAGTCTATTTGAACAAGCAGAAACATTTGCATCATCCAGACATAGCTGTATACGTGATGAGACTTCTATACTTCAGAGAGGCTGGATTTTGTAAGTGATTGAAGTCACAGGTTATCGGTATGGTTTATAATACCAGAAATATTGTGTTTATAAATGCAATCTTTTAACAGATACTGTTTCCACACTTTCAGTCAAGGAGTCAAGGCCACTAGAGAATCTAAAATGAACAGATGTGTAAAGAAAGGGTCTTACATGCAACTCCACAAAAATCTGAATGCTAGTATTTAGACTACATCAAAATTTCAGCATCTAAACTACTAAGTGTGTTAAGTTTTGCATGACAATGAGCAAGGTTGCAAGATACAACAGAAGTTGGCTTTGGGCAACATTACTTTTATTTTTACAACTCTGCAATGAAAGACAGTGCAACGTGATGATTCAAGTTTTTGGTGAATATTTAGCTCGATACTGCTCTTGATACAAATTCAAATTAATGACACTCATTATAATACTGACACTGACTAGTATTCCCTTTCTATTTCTTATTTCTATTTCTATCATAAAATATCTATGTTTACAGAGTGTTTTTTTGCTGGTAGTAGTAGATAATAGATCAGATTTATTACAGTAAGAATATACATCATGTATATATAGAATATACTTAGCCTCGCCTTTTAAATTCAGTAAAGCTTTAAAATATACTTGAAGTCTGAAGAGGTCCACTGAACTGGGATCTGCTTGGTGTGAGAATAAAACAAGAGAGAAAAGCACTATAATAATACTCAGTCACTAAGTTCCTAACATTCAAAGATAAAGTCTTGAAAAGACCTCTTCAACGGGCAGCCCACGGACCGCTTGTAGTTTGCAAATCAAAAGAAGGGTTCACCGAACTAACCTGGAGACACCCCTAGATCTATGGTACAAAGTGTACCAGCATCTTGAGCAGGAGCCATGAGCACCTTCTCTTGCACCTCACAGTCAGTGACAAGAAAGGTGTGAGCACGCTTGCGCCTCTCTTTCTGCATGACACGTGCCACAGCTCTGTTTTCTGGCCTGCCCACTCCAACAGGTTAGGTCTCCACCTTATCACCTCCAAAAATCTTTGAAGAGTCTTTTCTCTTAAGTCTCCATGGCTCAAAAGTAAAGACCAAATAACACGAAGACCACACTTTTCTTAAAAACCAATGAAATTTTTAGTTCGCATCATACTTTGTCTAACAGGCACAGCTGGCATACTGTGACCTGAGTCTTGTCTCTATCGCTTCTTGGACAAACGGTTTACTTCTATGTGGATTGTTGAAATAGACCTTCTACCAGACCCTTCAGCCCTTCTGTACCAGATCAGCTTTATAGTATCCTTGTACCACCAAGCTGGTGCAATGAAGCCAGAGAACGTGTCTGCATTTAGCTCAGTGAATATCGTAATATATACCATTACAAATTAATCTGAAAATTGCCCCTACCTGAGTAACAGCAGTGAAGAGAAAAGCAGAAACAGTCTTTTGCGCTTAGGAAATGGTGTGGCCAAGGACAGACTGGCAATAACTACTTTCAACAACACAAAGGCATGCAAATTTTTGTCCACAGAATGCTAATTTGGAGACAAATTAGCTTCAACCAATCTGTGTGTAAGTTCAATGCAAAATATATGAAAAACTGGCTTGATTATAGGAAATTCATTGCAGAAAGCAGTTGATCATGATAATGGTTTGGCTGCTGAAGGAAACAGCAGCCATCAATTAGGTCTCACATCAGACAACCTGACATACCTCTTGTTGATGCTGGAGGAGATTAGGTTAGTGTTTCAAATTCATGTTCTTGTACAAATCACTTGTTAAACAAATAAAGAATCCTTATGTGTAGATGTTAGATTAGTTGATGTCTCCTTGGGTGAAAAGATTAAAATGTGAAGGATGTCTAGCTGAACCAATTTAAAAGAACATTTATTTCCATAGCTATTCTGGTGCATCTTGTATATGCAACTCAAAAACAGTAGGAAAAAGGATG